GTAATCATGGTGTGTCGGCTGAGCAGTAACGCCCTCAGTGCTCTCTTAGTTGCACCTCGTGTGCTGACAAGCAACGTCCGCCGTCTCTCCCCAGAATCCCAGATTTAGTGTCTTCAGGTGTCCCCACGAACAGTCGAAGTGCCTCCTCCTGTTCCACCCGCAGTGAACATCCGCCTTTCCTGCCAGAGGGAGCAGCCCGTATCCTGCCGTTACCACCCCCTCATGTAAGAAACACTCTACGTTAATTCCTTCCCCTTAACTCCTACCTTAGGAACGTCAGATCCTTTCCTTGAAGTCTTCATGCCCCGTGTACTGTCACTGCTATTCATTTCTAAAACTACATTATAGTCTTGTAAGCACTGTTCCACTCCCCTCCCTCCCCTGAGTAAGGTACTGCTGTGAGTGTAAAGCTGTGATGTTGTCAATATGCAGAAGTTCAAGGAAAATAAAAAGTGTAGGTGACTAATTGCAGGACAAAGGCAAGCGTACATTCGGCAGCCACTGGGACTACAGGGCACAGCACCACACTGTACATAAGTACTAATATGAAAAGGAGTGTTGTTTTGGATAGTGGCTGACCCTAACGTAACCACTTTGCTGGCAATGAAATTGTAACTCAACCTTTTGTTTAGAGAAAACTTCCAGCTCTTACAACAGCATGTGCTGACACAGACATAAGACACGTCTTGGACAACTGCAGCTGAACCTAAGCATCCCAGTTAAAACTCTGCAGATTTTAACACCCAAGCCCTGACCCCATTGTCAAAATTGAGCAAAAGTGGAATTTTATTCTCACAAATGACTACGGAACCAGCAGATACAGTCAGGCTGCTTAAGATCACAAGCAGTCTTCAGTAAAAGTTCCATTTCCAGCATAAAACGGTAATGCCATTTTTAAAACAAAACCTACAGGTAAAGAGAAAATGTCACATCTTAACAAAAGAAATTTATTCTGACTAAACAAAATGTACAATGTTTCTGAATCAACAGTGAGTTTTCATGACTCTTGGAAGTCTGCAGATCCATTGAGTAACTTGACCGCTTCTTACCCTGAAGTTGGATCGAACTACTTTTTGCCAGACTTCTTTATTCCACCACTGGCTGCCAAAAGAAACAACAAAACTGGTTAGACAACTGTTACAGAGCTTAGCTACATACTTAGTCTCTCGTAAAGTCAAATCCCCACTAGACTGTGGCTACAACTCAGATCCCCACTGGTGAATTGTTTTTGCATGTGTTACTCTTCTATGTTTGTGATGTAACAGACTTTACTCTGAATAACTTATTTAACTTTAGAAACTAAGTTTTCCTGGAACCAAATATGCCCCATAAATCTACAACAGAACTAAATATTTCAGCAATTTCTTTGTTCCTCCAAAGACACCCTCCATTGTTTATTTCTTTTTTTTTTGGTCAAATCAAATTCAGGGCTCAGGGAATAAAAGCATCGGTATCGCTACAGCAGCCAGAGTCCCCAGCTGGGATCAAAGCTCTACAGAAACAGGTACTGGAATTATGAGAATTCCAGTTCTCTGGACTTACGTTCTCTACAGTCCCTACTACTGAAGAGACTAAAGCAGGGTGAAAGAACACAAAATATTAGTATAGCAAGAAGTGCATAATTTTTCATAAACGCTGTTTTTTACAGCATGTGTCATGTACGTAACGTATGTGGAAAGGAAAAAAGAACAGCAAGGCTATAGCAAGATAGACTGCAAGGGCTGACGGTCAACAACAGATTTTGCACTGCAATATCATTCTAACAGTGCTGCCTGGCTGAGGCTCTCGGGAGCAGTAGTCTAGTCCTCCCACAATAACATAATAATCACTATCTGCTTGGGCAAGTCTTGGACAAGAACCAGATGAATGAAACTCCATCTAGAAAAAGGCAGAGTGTTAATGGCTGGAAAGAATTATGAAAAAATCCAACAGCTAAAGTGCCCTACATAGAACAAGTTTAGGATGGTAAGGACACAGAAGAGAGGCTTAGTGAATTGTTACAGACATCAGTCTGTAATACCAAAGACATTCCTACACACAGCACATTTTTTGTACAGCAATAAATCAGAGAAGCTAGATCCATTTGAGATAACTAAACAAGAAATATCCCAAGGTCAGTGGGACTAAACAGCATTCCCTCGAAGAGCACTGATGAGCTGTAATGTGAAAATGCAGAACTGCTGGCTAAGATTTGAAACTTATGGGAAGAGCCACTATGTCAGAGGACTTAGACTGCCAGTGTAGCTCCCAGATACAGAAAGGGTTCTGTAAAGAACTGGGGAACTATGGAGCAGCAAGTCTGAGAAGATAACAGAGTCCATAACAAAGTAAACAGATAAACACAGTCTTGTGAAAGTTAAACAGGACTTCTGTAAGTGGTAAATTCTTCCTCGCTGACCTGCTGGAACTCTCAGGTTATCGTTAAGTGTATGGGTAAAGTGAATCCAGGGGACTTCATATTTTCAAACAGCATCTGACGAGATTCCATAGAAAAGGTTGTTAGTGAAACTAAGTTGCAATAGGATTGCTGGACAGGTTTTTTTCTGGTACCTTTCAGGACTGAAAGCTTGCTAAAGAATAAGAAGCAAAGTGTGAAGTTCAACGGTCTTCACAAAATAGAATTTCAATTAGTCCCTTTAATGGAACACAGGCAGGGTGCACCCTTTAACGCCTCTGATCCGATCACTGCAAATGCCGGACAAGTACAACGGAGTGCACAGACTCACATTAGCCCTGTCTCCTACTATCACTATCTGAGACAAAGACCGTGCTCAGGGCACCACGTAACGTATCTGGAAAGAAAAGGATGGTTGCTAAAATATGAGTAGAAACGTCTCTGCACCATCCCCCCCAAAGAGGTTAGCATGCCAGACACACCGTCACACCTGCTAAACCAGAACCCACACCAATAATTTGGGATGAAATTGCATAGTGAAAGGGAAAAAAAGGGGAAAAAAATGAGCCTCTATTTGTTACTTATCTGCACCTGCCATCGACCTGCTGATGTATGTTAAATAAACTAGAGATACAAGCCTTTTTATGTTTGTCAAGCAAAACCATCAGATTTCTGAAGCCAGCACACCCTCCATTTTTCCTATCAATATGGCACCTCACTTACTGAGGGGCCCTTTTCCAGCAGCCTTTGCTTTCATCTCCTCAAGTTTCTTTTGCTCCTCCTTCTGCTTTTGTTTAAATGCCAGGTCTGTCTAAAGAAAAGAACAACAGTGTTTGTTAACATCTCCTCCTCCAAAAAAATGCAAACACAACTGACAAGCAATAAGAAACACATGTAATGTTCTGACAGCAATAAAAACCTGAATGAACTGCTGCTAATACTACTAAATATGCAAAACTTCGCAGGACTATGACAAAGGGTTTTTGCTGTACCAGAATGGAGCGACTAAACTTGAACTTTTGATGTTTAATCTTTTCCGAAATTAAACAAGTATCCTCTCCTATGGCATAGTCTCATTCTGCTCTCTTAATGACAGATGTTTGCACTAAGCCCACTCATTAACATGCCACCAGTGATACTGGGAGCCGAGCACACAAACATTAACAATAAAACTTGGATTATATAGGATGCAAGAAAAAAAAGTTTGCTTTTACCTACAAAAAACATTAATTTTAAAAAAAATCCTTCCACACATGTTACTGTTTTTGCCAGGTTCAGTACATTTGTTTTAGTTCCAAGAAATCTAATGAGGCCACTGGCAGACTGTATGGGCACGGCAGCTGCTGGGCATCCCTGCTAGCACACTCTCCAGAATTCAAGAGAGCTCGGACATACTCCATCCCTTACACACGCTCTTCACAGGCACCAAGGCTGAAAGGGACCATCGTCTTTTCCCTTGGCACTCAGGACAGAGGACCTTGACAACTGGGATTCTACACGTGCTTCACCAATCCAGTCCATGGTCCAGCTACCTTTGTAACTGCAAAGTTTTCCTCTTCTTTAAGTTAAAACTTTTCTTGCTGCAATGGAAACCACTACCTCCCTTACCTACCCCACACAGAACAGAATACTCTGTTCCCCTCTCCAGGTCTTCCACTGTGCTGTTTTGGGGTTTTTTTTAATTCCTGTAGACTAATGTGTCTTTCTTAGTAAATCAGTCCTTCCCATTTAACCACTTTTGTGGGTTTTCTTCTTGCTATGTGTTGCCCTCACATATGCAGCATTGCAGTGCTCGGAGAAAAAAGAAATATTACACCATGTTTGACAAACAAGATTTTGGTTTTACATCCTGTATGATTTGTTTTTTTCCTTTTGCAACATCTGATGTTGCAGGTTCCCGTTCAGTGTATGATCCAAGTTGCAAATCTTTTCAGGTGGGTCTGAAGTTTAGCCAGTCATTCTTGTATTTTGTAAGTTGATTCGTCTTACCAGAGGAAGGGACTTTGTATCTGTGCTTCATTAAATGAATCAATTTTTTCAAACTGTCTCCAATTTGTTAAGATTACTTTGACACTAGTCTTGTCTTCTGACAGTCTCTGGCACCTTCAGATTTTCTGATTTCTACAGAGAGAGCAAGCTCTATTCTCAGTCAACCAGCCAACCAAGGCACTAATCAAAGCATTAGCTAAACTCCAATCAAATACAAAATTTAGCAAACCCCCCTCTCAATACATCCTTGCAGTCAGACACCGGACTGTTAGTAACTGCTTTTAGTGTGGCATTCCAGCGAGCTGTGTGCTCACCTTCCATCCCCTTTCGAGGTCCCGTTCCTGCCTTGCATCTGAGAACGTGACATGAGCTGGCACCGAGAACCCCGTACCTACTGGTTTTCTCCTCACACACAGAGCACGGCCCTGCCACACAATACAATCTGCTTTGTTTGCCACAATTCTATTAAAATCCATATTGCCTATTAGTTTTGACATTATTATAACTTGGATCTTTGTAAGCCCTTAATCGGTTCTACCATTTCTACAACAATAAAGCTTATTTAGAAAGATTCTTCTCCCCTCTTTTCTAAAGGCACATAGTATTTGTCTATTTTTCCGATCAGCGGTGCCTCATCCATCCTCCACGATCCTCGGAAGTAACATTTTACACCCACACTGTGAGCCCTTATGTTTCTCTAAATCAGATTCACTGGTACCGAATCTACTCAAACCACCCGATAATCCCCGGGTTTTGTCTCCTGTCCCAGGCTCCCGTGACCGCGTTAAATTGTTAAATTTCCCCACGGCAGCCCGCTGCTTTGCCGAGGACATTCCAGCCTTTTCCGTGGGACCGGACTCCTCCGTTAGCCAACGCTGCTGCGAACACTGGCAGGATGTGAGCAGGACCAAAAAAAAAGCACAAAAAAAATCCCACAACGACGGGAAAACCGGGGCGGTGGGAGGCAGCGCATCCCCTCTCGGTCTCTTACGGCCCCGAGTTCTACCGTCACAACGATGCTTCGTAAAATGTGGCCTTTCGTGATACCAAAATTTGTATTGCCAGGGAAAGCCGAGCTGAGGGGTGATGGGCGCG